CCAACACTCCCCATCATAGACAATTGCCAGGGACTCTCTTGATACACACATTCATTCTTTCAAGACAGTCAGAATAGAAGCTGAAATTCTCTTTTAAAACGCAAGATTTACCCTTTTAGAATCTTCAGCATTACAAATACTACTGGAAGTTACCTTTTCATATTCTTCCTCTGTAGGATTATACTTTCGCAGCCATTCTGCAAGTGGTTTGTCTTTGAAAGATCCTGTTACTCCATATTCCACTTGAATTTTCCTAAGTGTATCTGAAGCAGGAACAAGCTCCACCATACCTTTATAAAAAAATTGTAGAAAATATTTACTTGCAATGACTTAGGTTTAAATCTTGTTCGATATAATATCTTCATTCTTATTTATTATGAAGCCTCTTTAAGATATCTGATTTTACCATACAGGGCCCAACTCCAACGCAGAATATTTGTAAAAACTGAAGTCTAAATCTGCTATGCCTATACACAGAAAATTAAATGAATATCACCAGTAATGGAACACATCCAAATTAATTTGCTTTACTCAATTAAGGTTCATCGTATTATTTCGTAAATTCTTTGGTCTCAAATATTAACTGATTATGTACACCAAATATTAGTTATAATTAACATTCTTCATTTAGGGAACTTGAGCACTCGTAAGAAAATGCTGGACAAGGATGGGTGGGCTCTAAGAATACAGTAGCCTGAGAAGTGACCAAAACAGGGTTACTTGTGGCTCTGCAGAAGAAAAGCAATCTGTTACATCACATGAGACAAAGAGCTCCTTGAGCCAGAATACAACTTGGAAAATAATCCCCACCTGGACAGTAGAGATTCATTTGGCAAAGGATCAGAAAAAGCAGTAGGCATAAGCAGATAAAAATAGAAGTGGTTTTCTGTTTTGTATCCTGCAAATTATTTAAATGATAATACTAGCAGTGAAAAGGAAAAGTAAGGCAGTGACATACAATGTAATCTAGTGCACTATTTTAAACTAGCTGAAACTTGCAACACATTTGGGATGAAATACTTTTTCAATAAAAAATTTATTTAAATACAGGATTTTTAGTTATCCTTTGACCAAATACTTTAACAGAATCAAAACTTCTCACCCTCGAAAAAGCTATGTAAAAAGCTGTCTGTGTGTAAACACAGGGTTAGAAATATAAATACATATTTTGTTTACAGTCTGACTTTGTGACTTGCTTATAGTCATAGAATAAGAGGGTCCTTGTCCACGTGACTGAAGCCCCTTTTACACGTGAGGAAATTGCCCCTTTTAGTGATTTAATTGCCTTTTTAATGATTTGTGTAACAATGTACATGTTCAGCGGCATATTTCAATTTAAACGACTTGTTTACATAGCATA